ACTGGGGAAAATTATCTTACTAAATATATTAAATGTGCAAAGCTTCATTTAGCTGCCTGGAACTCTTTTATAAAGAACTTATAGAAGCTGATCTATGTTAAAAATACAATTGCAATAATGCCAAACTACCCTGATGTTCTTTTTGAGAGGAGCATGTATACTTAGAATATTAAATAGTATTTTGGAATAAAAAAAATATAATTAAGGAAAAAGAGATATCTAAGTAGAATTCTGTGTTTACTCCTAGGCTAGAATTAAGCCTCAAAAAAAAAAAAAGTGGATGTTTAGCACCCTTTCCAGAAGCACAGTTGTGCCTTGTACCATTGCCACCACAACTAAAACAGGGAGGAAACTGAGTGAAGAGGACATTCCTCTTCCAGCACTAAGACACCATCACAGACACCTGACGACTGTTAGAAAGTGGTGAAGGTTTGTGTAGATTGAAATTAAGGCTGAGAAGTGTGTGATTAGCTTGTGTCCAAGTTCCTATTTGGACAGTGTTGATCATGACATTCCTTTGGTCAGTAGTGACATGCTCTTTAGGAAATTTATGATGTCCAAGAGAGCTTCAGTCTGCCTGGAAACCACACGAGGGTAGCAGCTACATTCTGCCTCAACCTGGAATTCCCCTGTACAACATACTAGTACAGGGTTGGTCATCAATGTTTTTTGTTGTGAAAGATGAAAATGACTCCTTGAGTTTTGTGATCAGAAACTTGTTGGTTCCAGTGGATCACTGGTTCAAGTCAGTGAATTATTTTTCATTAAGGGGTTTGGTTTCATTTGAAATACAGAATTACTGAGAGAAAATGAGATCTTCCATCCACCAGTTTATCTACAAATAGTTGCAATGTCCTGGACTGGGACAGGCCTAAGACAGGAGCCAGAAACTCCCTCCAAGTCTCATATGTGAATGGCAGGGATCCAAGTACTTGGGCCGTTTTCCACTGCTTTCCCAGGTGTGTTAGATGGGAGCTGGATTGGAAGCAGAATGGCAGTGCTGGAATAGAAGCTCATATGGGATGTTGCCATCATAGCCAGTAATTAACGATAGCCTCAAAATGTCCATGTTTTTAACAAGTCCCAAATGATGCCACTGTTGGTTTCAGATGATATTTTGAGAGGAAATTTTAGTTGTAATGAATAGATGTTACTGTTCACATGGGAATTCACAAGGAAGCTGGAATAGGAAGTTCTGGCAGTTTGGATCTTGCTGTAATTTGAACACCAGATGAGTTCCATATTATAAGCCGAATGACTATATATAGTTTTCTTTTTCTTCCTTGTTCAGGAAAATACAAAGCATCTCCTTGATATCCCCACTTGATCAGAAAGATGATCAGATAATTGCTTTAGTATCTGACACAGTGAGGCTCAGAACATTTCCTCCTTTTGTGTTATATTTCCTGCTTTTCTTTGGCTACCTGTTAACATAAAAGTTTACTGATTTGATAATATCTCAGAAAAAGGATTTGCAAACTTCATTTCAGGTGTCTGAAAACCCTCTGTTTAAGACCACTTGTCACAGAGCTGTGTCTATATATAGCCTTTGTTTACTAATTAAATAAAAATTAGCTGTGTTTTCTTACCTGCGTTGTTATCAGTCTGCTACAAATTTGAAACCTGAGAAATTATATATAAGCACCATGGGTGAAATATTTTTTTCTGCTGGCTAGGGAAACAGAAACAAGGAAATAAAAATAAATAAATAAATAAATTTTTTTAAAAAAGCAATGACTTTGAGTCATACCAAAAGTGATACAGGAGATGCTAAGCATGGAAGAGTATAAAACAGATAAAGTAGAAGAAGGGGCAATGATATTGAGACAGGATTTGATATTTATGTCACTACAAATTGCCTGTGGTGTTGAGACCAATGCCATAACTTTATTTTGAGATACCAATTGCCTTTTCAGCTGAGGATAAAGAAATAGTGAGATGTAACAGTGTCATTGACAGTGACACAAAAGAAAATTGGCAATAAAATCATAATTAGAACTTATATTTAGCAAATGTCTTACTTGATTAAATACACACACACACACACACACACACAAGCTTTTGAACATAAATTGTTACAGAATATTAAATGTTATGCCAAACTAATGTTTACTCATCGGACTCCAATTAAAACCAAAGGGACAGCCAAAAACAAAACAAAAGAAAAAAAAAAACCCTTCTCTCCCAGTGTTCCAGTGAGATTGTTTCCTGGTCTATAGTCTGTGAAGAGGCAGACACTGATGTAATAACCAATAAGCCATTTATTAACTAGGCAGTTGTTGGAAATGCTAATTGACAGAACAGGTCAGTTAGTAGCTGAGAGTATGAAAAGTAAAAGGGAAAATCAGATTTCACAAGACCACTTGGTTAATTCATGAAACAACATTTTCATGTATTTCCTATGCTAGAAAATAGACTGAAGAAATGCTGATATTGCCTTACCAATAACCTACTATAGAAATATTCTTTCATTTTTTTAAAGATTTATTTGTCTTTATTGGAAAGAGAAGGCAAGGCAGAGAGGAAGATCTTCTGTCTGAGGTTTATTCCCAAGTGGTCACAGTGCCCAGAGCTGAGCCAATCAGAACCCAGGAGCCAAGAACTTATTCTATGTCTGCCATGTAGGTGCAAGGTCCCAAGCCTTCAGACCATTCTCTACTGCTTTCGCAGGCCACGGTCAGGGAGCTGGAAGGAAAGTGGAGGCACATGAGGCAGCACCCATATGGAATCCCAACATGCCATGTGAGGATTTGTTGTATCTCAAACAAGATAGAGAGTTATGGAAACTTAGAGATTTAGTATTATTTAGCAGATAATGAAATATTACATAGACTTGTTATAATTCACAGTAGTTCTCAAAAAGTGGATAGAATTAAGTATGATATATTCCAGAAATAAGTAGAAGAGAAGGCAAAGAAATGTAGAAATGAAGGCTTGCTGGTTAAGTAATTTCTGTTAGAAAATGTCTTAGGAGACGCTAGTAGTAGAATGTAAGAGTAGAAGCAAATTAGCATATCATAAACATTTCTTGAGTTTCAAAATTTACTTAGATTCTACTAATCATCAGCTTTATTTTTGTTAAGATTTACTTATTTTTATCAGAAAGGCAGAATTACAGAGAGAAGGAGTTACAAAAGAGAAAGATCTTCCGTCTGCTAGTTCACTTCCCAAGTGGCTGCAATGGCAGGAGCTGAATGTATCTGAAGCCAGGACCCAGGAGCTTCTTTTAGGAACCCCACGCAGGCGCGGGGTCCCAGGGCTTTGGGCTGTCCTTGATTACTTTCCTAGGCCACCAGCAGGGAGTTGGGTGGGAAGGGAGCAGCAGTGACACAAACTGGCACCTATATGGGATCCCAGCACATGCACGGCCAGGACTTTAGCCGCTAGGTTTCCATGTCAGGCCCTCAGCTTCATATTTTAAGGATTTTTTTTTTGTACTTATTTGGACATTTCTTTTCCCATCTGTAATAATAGAGACAAACTTAGATTCAGTTTTGGTCCTTCCTGTAGTGATATTTCATTCTGAAGAATAAGTTAGGTACTTAGTAGACCATACAAAATTCTCTGGGCGAAAAGTGTTGTGGAAAGTTTTGGGTACTTTTGTTTTAAATTTATTTTTTGAATTGATATATTATTCCATTGAGACTTTTTTTTTGTTTTGTTTCCCGCTTACTCTCTAATATTATTGATACTGAGACAACTTGATCTGTGTGGCCAGTTATCTTAGTATCCATTGTGGATAGAATATGAAAAGCATTACATGCAAATTACAACATATGTGATGGTATGCCAAACGTGAAAAGGAAATGCTCAGTGAACCTGAAGATTTTATCTGTATCAGGATATCCTTCCTTAGCCAGGCAGTCCTAGAGACCAGCATGCTCCCACCACAAATTAGCTCAGTGGAGTAAGAATTAATTTAGAACATGTATCATTACCCCAAGCAACCTTTTCCTTGATGAAAACACTGTCCATTTGGGAGCCAAGCAATGAAATCAGTTGCCTTGAGGTTCCCGACCTCCCTCCATGCACCCCTGCCCATGCTGATGTTCCTGTTTTCTTGGCGACTCTGTGTGCACATCAAGTGGCTTTTTGTGGAGGGATCACAATCCACCTGAAGAAGTCATTCATATGTCAGCTCATTCCATCTCCGCATGTATGAACGAACCCTGAGACTGCAGAGTCTGTGTACTTCAGAATAATCATTGTAGGATCACCGGTAATTCGGAAGTCAGTTAAACAGGGTGTACAGGTTTTCATTTGGTTTATAAATTACTACTCTTTAAAACTGTGTTTAATTTTTTCTTATGTCCTTAAACAGATATTTTAATATTAAAACTCATTGAGAGCTGTCAATTTGAAGAGAGCCAGACATTTTTTATCAGTACTTGTTTTCTTTTGAAATTTTGAAATCCATTTTAATTTCCAATTGTACATAGATTTTTCTTTAGATAAAATATCTTTTGCTGCTTATCTGCTTATAAGATTCTACCCAGTACTAGATTCCAAATATACCTCAAAGGGAACAGCCAGGTTTTCACAATATTGTATTAATAAAATAAATTACAAGTTTGCTAAAAATCTAACGATTCTCAGATTCTTCCTTTCATTTTTTTTCCTTAAGAATGTGATCTCTTTTATATATGAAACGTAAAGTTATCTTAATTTTGCAGTTATTTTGCAGAAGTTGGATCTTCTAAAAGATGAAGTAATATTTTGAAAAGATGCTAATAATACAACACAGTCATATTTTCAGATTCAGCGGTTACACAGTTTCTAACAAGGGATGTGCTGTATATTTCATTGTGCATTCATAATTAAAGATCATGATGTATATGTTACATTGCCATGATTTTCTAATTAATTTGTTCTTTATACATGTTCTTTATACATGTGTTTCAATTGCATTTCATTAACTCATAGTTTTCTTGTAAGTTTGTGTTTTCTTTCCATGTTCAAAGAATCTCTTTAATTCAATTTCTCTGTTTCTCCTCATACAGTCTGGCAGCCAGATATGCAACTCATTCTAATCACAGTGGAATTGCATCCAGTCAAAAAAAGCCTACTAGGTCAGTTAACATCTCTGATTTATTACTTATTAGTGATATTCTAGTAAATGGCCAGTTATATTTTGTCTTCACACTCTCACAAAGCACACTTCTGGATGAATTCATTCAAGCAGATTTCCACACACATATCAGGGAAAAGCGTATTTGTGCTATCTAACTCAATTACTTTTGACTTCTGTTTTCTTTTTAATTCAGACATGATGTTTTATCAGCTAAAATCTGGGTTCTAGGTTTAGAGAAAGTCAATAAATGTACACCATTCTGTCCAGGTCCCAGCGTCTGGAAGTTGTAGAACAAGAAGTAATTCTACATAAAATATGTTGAAAGAGTCAGCTTTGTTTTTGTCTTAATGCTACGTTGCAAAAGGCATGCTAGTAGATGGTGAGCCACGGCATGTGTGTTATTCACCTCTGATCGTACAGAATTCTTTGGACCATCTCATTCACTGGAGCAGTGACCAGTGGTGGTTGACTAGTCACTCCTCCACTAATGAGACTAATGCAAAACGATCACAGGGCTGCTTCTGATGCTTTGCATTGAGGTAGGTTTCTTTCTCCTTTCCTTGGTTTTCTATTTTCTTCTCATTAATAGTACAGAATGATACTGAAAAGATAGATTAAAAAGAATATGTTATTAAAATTTATGTAAATAATACGTTAGGATATATAGAGAAAATTGACCTTCTATGAGCACTATCTTTTATTACTGTTTTAAATATGTGAAATACATTTTTGTCACCGTGTTAGACTAGCACCACCTCCTCCCTTCTGTTGCTTCATCTCTTTTCCCTTTTCATTTCTTTGAAGAATGATCTAGAGCCCCTAGCTGCCTGTCAAATAGGAGAATAAGAGCAAATGATGTGTTTTAATTTGCTCTTCTGAGAACTGAAGATCATTTGGCTTCCTGGGTCATAGTAATGATTAAAAGGAACTTAATTGCTTTCTAGAAACAGGTCAAGTTTCATTACAAGAAAGATTTTTTTTGTGTGACAAAATTTGTTTATGCATATGAGATTGTAATGAACTTTTTAAGTCTATGGTTATGTCAACTGGGAGCATTCTCTGATTTATTATGATTGAAACATTGGGTCAAATTAATTCGTTATTTTTACAGAGTGCAATCACTGGAACTGTAAATTGTTAGTGTCTGTGGTTACTGTGCTAAACTTACAAACATTTGTAAATCCATCAGGGCAAAAGTTAAATGCTTAAATAATTTGGAAAAGATTCTAATCTTGTGTGTGACACAACCTATTAGCAAAATAGCTGAAGGGGCTACTTGTTAGTCATGTGTTTTAGACTCTTAAAACATAGTCAACATTTTGAAACTATTAGCTGTGTCAGAAATTGGATTTTGTTTTAATTTGACATTTGGGTTTTTCTGGTTTGTCTTCCATGTTTATGACACGTATTACTATTATAAAACATTATTTATCTCTGAAGATTTGATTTCTTTATAATCTTATAGGTTTTATGAAGGTGTGTTAAAATTTGACTATCATAACAATTGAACTTGTGAAAAGTAAAGAACTGTTTTTTTTCAAAAATGTGTAAGACAATATTAAAAACAATTCAGTGCTATAGTCATAGATTCTGGCTTTTTTTTGTCTGCTGGTTTTTACTAATTTTTTTCTACATAGAATTTTTCAGCGTAGTACCCAGGGATACTCACATGGTGGCAGCAAATACCAGCAAAGACGTTAACATCATTCAGTATTATTTTTCCTGAATAAATATTGGGTATCAATATTCTTAGTTTTTTGGTTTTGAATTCCTGTGTATTATTACATTTATCACAGGACACAATTAAAATCCATGTAATTTAAATATAGAAATCTTGAAATTGGTCATTTAAGGCACAGTTCATGAAATAATTGATCATTGCATTTTTAATGTTAAAACTGAAAAATTATTTGAACTGATAATTAGTTGTCGTTCACATAAAGTAATAATAGTTCATAATCTGTCAGCTTGCCTCTAATTGAAAGATGATTTGGGTCTGTGTTCTCATCGTCTGCCCTTCATTCAGCTGAAGTGACTGTCACCGGAGTTATATTTCAAATAGTCATTCTACTAACAGCGTTATTTTTTGAATTGAAACCTGCCTTGTTCTTGTCTTGTGTCGTCTGTGAAAAGCTGGCCATAGGCCACACATGCAGGATAACCAGCTAAACGTCTCATGAATTCTCCCAATTCAGAACCCCGACTTCTAGTCTCTCAGTACTGTACAATAATGATGTAATTTTCCTCACACTGTTTCAGGCTTCCAGGGCCCTCTAGGGTGCCCACTGCAGGCAGCAGCAGCAGCAACAGCAGCAGCAGCAACAGCAAGGGCCAAGGAGCCTCTAATTTGAACAGAAGAAGCCAGAGCTTTAACAGCATTGATAAAAACAAGCCTCCAAATTATGCAAATGGGAATGAAAAAGGTAAGTATCCATATATTACATCATTACAACATCCACGTAAGAGGAGGAGCCCTGCGAAAGGCAGCCTGGGTCTGGTGTTTTCCCGGTGCCACAGCTTTGGGAATAGCAATGTAACCAGTGGAGTCTTCTTATTGCCTCTTCCTCAACAGCATTTTCTCTTAACGGCTTTTCTAACCTTTAAAGAATATTTTAAGGAAATACTCAGGTTTTTTTTTTAAACCAGTTGAAGATACAGCCAGGTGTAAAATCTGTTTCTCAAAATCAATTCCTTCCTGCTGTGTAATAATAGCAACTTCTTATGCCTTCCCAGGTGTTAGAAATGCTTTTTTTTTTCCTGAAACCATAAAACTGCACTGAAGTTATTTGAATTCTTAGCTTCAGTTAACATAGCATCATAAATGTCAGGAAATTAAAATTTGTTGTCATAGTTGTGATGGAATGTCGATAGGAATGAATACTTCAACATAATAAGACCCAGAAATATTGTGATACAGGATTTCCTGAAAGACAAATTACATCCATTTGTTTTGCTTCCCTGAAGTGGTGCATGCTGTGAGTATCACATTTCAAGATTATTAGGAATAAGGATAGATTGTGGAAATCTATTTTAAGTGCGGATCGTAGATGAATTAGAAGCCCCATTGCTCTCTGATGACCAACACGTGCCTTTAAAAAGGTGTTGAGTAGAAGATTCTGACTACAGAGCAGGATGGCAAAGAGGCTGCCTAGAGCACCGGGGAAATCAGGAAGAAGCTGTGATGGTGGAAAGACCTAGGGTCTTGTGTTGGATACATCAGTGTATTTTCTAATCAGTAGACTATCTCTATTCTGGTCCTACTCGTCTACTCTAGACAAAGTAACAATTGAAAGAAAAAAAGTGGTTTGTATGTTTCGTTAATAGAACAGTTAGCAAATGTGCTTTAGCTAATACAACCAAGTGGGATCTTATTTTTGAGCTGAATAGTAAAAGCTCTAACGGAAGATCCCAAGAGTTATTACTGAGACATGTATTTTGCTGAAGAGAAGGGAAAAATAGTTCTTAATTAAAAAAAACATTTTCCAATCCATAACTGTGTTATACTCATTCATGTTCAGGCTAATATTTCTTTATACACTATGAAACCTTTAGGCAAAGCTAACAAGCTTTGAAATAGATATGTTCAGTGAAATTCTCAATTATCTGGTAAAACCAGCAGACACCACCACAGTACCACAGTCTTCTGATACCTGCACACACACACACACACACACACACACACACACACACACACACACACACACACACACACCACACAGCTAGAAACAGCAAAAAACCAAAACATTAGCAAAAAAATTTAGATGAATTAACATTTTAATATAACACTGTGTTTAAGCTTTTAGTATGTAATGCTTTTTCTAATTTTACTTTTGGTATCTATCGTTAGAAATGTAAAAATAGATACACATCAATATTTTTACATGTTCACGCAGTCTCTCCTGTATTCCAAGAGCAATGTAATTTGTAAGAGGCAATATTCACTGTAACCACAAGGGGGAGACAGATGTAACATAATATGTGGTCTTTGTTGCGTGAAACAGATTTATTAACATTATTTATTAACATGTGCAGCAAGCAACGGGAGTTTCCACAATGAGTTAACTGTTACTTCTAATGCCAAATAAGAATACCGAAATACTTACTGTACATAATCTCACAATATGTGTAATATCTCTAAATGTAGGTTATTGCAATATGTAAGCCTCGTGTAAAACTACCAACCATAAGTTTGAATTGCATCATTTGATTTATTATAACCATCTGGAGTGTTTATATTTAAAACATGAGATTTTCTATTAATTGTTGGGTTACAATCTTATGTTAATATGCCTGATATCAATGTTTTAAGTAAATATGTATCTTGCAAGTTCATGTGTCCAAATTATCTTAAATCATAACACAAATATCATTCATAAAATAAAGCTCAATCTTCACCAACATTTTTAATTAGATACTTGATTGAACTTTTAAAAGATTTATTTACTATTTTTATAAGAAAGTCAGATATACAGAGATCAGGTGAGACAGAGGCAAAGATCTTCTGTCCATTGACTCACTCCCCAAGTGGTCGCAGTTGCCGGAACTGAGCCAATCCAAAGCCGGAAGCCTGGAGCTTCTACTGGTTCTCCCACCCAAGTGTGGGTCTCAATGCTTTGGGCTGTCCTCGACTGGTTTCCCAGGCCACAAGCAGGGAGCTGGATGGGAAGCGGGCCACTGGGACATGAACTGCCACCCATATGGGATCCTGGCGCATGCAAGGAAAGGATTTTAGCCACAAGGCTACCGTGCCAGACACCTTATTTAACCTTTTAAACCTCATGATTCATAGTGGTAGCATAATCTAAAAATTCTGGATTCCATCTTTTGACAAATTGATCTTTGTCTTAAACTGATTTGCGTGGTTAACTTGCATATGACCAAGTAAGGTAAAACTTAAAAGGAATTTTCAAAAGTTGCAATATAATGATGACAGAATTTGAAAATTTGCTTAAATCTAAGAATATTTCCTCCTTATTTACTGGGACATGTATACTTACATAATGAAATATTTCATTTAAAGGAATAAGCAAATCATATGTAATATATTCCCAGGGTGCCTTTAAAGTAAGGATATAATTTCTATTTTCTATAACAGATCTTATCTGGTGAGTAAAAAAAATCAACCACAAATTTTAAAATTTGTCATTGACAGCACAGGTTTATTCCTAATTAAGACCATTTAATTTTCCCATTTAATAAAACTTTTGGAAATACAGTGTAATTGTTTAAATATTATTTATTTTAAATGTTAGTTCATTTGCAAATGATGTGATATTAAAGAAGTCAGTGGCGAATCACAAACAGTTCTCAAGGGATATATCTAGTATAAGCTTAGTAACAAGACAGTTCAAAAAATAGTCTGCTCATTTCAGTTTCTCACCAGAGAATTAAGATTTCAGTGCACATTGTCATTCACTATCTGTTCCAGAAAAGCTGACATAGGAAATTAACAAAATTCAATGCCATCCAAACGTTTTATTGGAGTGAAATGTGGGGAAAGTTTTTCAGAGAACAAATGGCGAAATGACAATGTTTGTACAGCATTTCTTTCAAGAATCCTTCATTTTTCTTGTCCTGATGACTCATCATTCATAAACTGACGATGAATAATACATTGTGATATCAGCACTTATCTGCTTGGCCATGTTCCTGGTGAAAGTACTCCAGACATTTCCACACTCCAAAGAAAACATGTAAAGTGGAAATTAGATCTCTTGAAAAACATGCCATGACTCATTTTCATACCTGAGGCAAATCATCTTGTTTTACAAAATTTGTGTAATAATTCTAAAAAAGTGCCAACCGGCTTAACGTTCAAATGAATTCAAATATGCCTAACTTTAATTAGCAAACCAGTTTCTGAATTATAATCTGAGAACATATGTTGTTTACAGAGTTCCCTAGTGGAGAGGTTTTTTTCCGTGTTGCTAAGAAACATGCCACAGCACCACAGGGATGGCTACTGTCTCTTACCTGTTTCTCCCAGGTGATTGCAGCACTGAACTTGTCCATTTGCTGAAGAGGGTTCCTTTCCTGTCTCCCAAATTCTGAGCAGACACTTTCTGTTACAGAGGCTTGAAATTTCATTTCTATTCTAAGTAGTGTTAGTAGGATCAAAATCTAGAATTGAACAGCATTGGTGTTACAAAATGGAGCAGTTAACATGAACTTCTTGTCATAGAGTTTTAGCAGCTTATTATCAGCCGAAACAGATTATCTAGGTCTCAAATACTTTCCATTTTAAATTTTTCTGAAATTGCTATGTTGTTAAAGAACTACATACTTTTTTAGCAAGGCATTGCAATGCGATTGTGTTTTTGTAATTATATTACTTTAATGGTGATTTAATCATATGTCTTACCATGATTTTGGTTTTTTTTTTTTTTTTTTGCTTTATTGCTTTAAATGCAGGCCTAAGCAACTACCTCGGCATCATAATTTCAGAGCTCTTAGGGATTTGCATGGGTAGCATGAGTTGATACAAGTAGGTAGACATAACAGTGGGGTATATTGTATGTTTATGTATAAAAGCACACATAAGATGCTGCCATATATTTGCTTGTACATTCATTGCATACCTTTTTGAAATAGGCGAATTAAAGTATGCTTGCATTTCACAACACTCAGCAAAATGACGTTCCTAAGTTTGTAATGACACAATACTAACGAATGCAAAAGGGATGCTGTCTCTAGTATCTCCGGTGCAGATTTTTAAATCACAGTTTCAATGCGTGTTTATGTGTTTGGAAGTATGAGAGAAAGAGAGTAAGGTCTTCCAGCTCCTTGTTCACTGAACAAATGGCCACTAATAACCAGGGCTGAGCTATTCCAAAGACAGGAACTCCATTTTGGTCTTGCATGAGGGAGGAAGGGATCCAAGTACTTGAATCATCATTTGCTATTCTCCAAGAATGCATGTTAGCAGGAAATTGTAAAGGAAATCAAATAGCCAAAAATTGAAGAAGCCATCCAATGCGGGACGCTGGTGTCCTGCGATGTTTCCACAGAGCCACGGAACACTTCCCTGTTGTCATTTTAAGCATGATGACCACATTTCTGAAGCAGTGATTTATGTAAAGCGTTTTGGTGATGTGATAGATAAACCACTTGGCAACAAGGTGTTTGGATTTGAGTGTTTTTGTTCAGTCACTTAAACATTTCAAAAGGCATTTTGGTGTGTTATTATGTAAGATGAATCTACATGATTCTCCACACTAATTGCCAGGGCCATAATGTTTACTTATATCATTCATTTTGTAACCCTCTGTCATGTTCAAGGTGTTTTTTAGATTGCAGGACCTCTACATCATAGAACACGATGGCTGCTATGCAAAGAATGTTTTACGAGGAATTGTGCTGTTGTTGATTTGTTCTTTTTTTCACATGTATGTTCTGAACAGAAAGGCGTGTGCATTCATATAAA